CTCGCGGACGCGCGCGGCGCCGCGGCGGACGAGGCCGCCGCGCTCGACGGCGCGCTCCGCGGCGCCGCGCGCGCCGAGGCGGGCCGGCGCTGCCGCCTCACGGCGCGCGTGCGCCTCCGGGCCCTGCGGGCCGCCGCGGTGCTCGCGCGCGGCGACGGCGACGCGCTCGCGGCCGCGTGGGCGCGCGCGGCCGCGCGGGGCCACGGCGACGGCGGCGACGGCCCGCCGACGCTCCTCGCGCTGTCGCGGCGCCTCCGCGTCGTCGCGGAGCTCGCGGCGCTGCGGCTGCCCCACGCGCGCGTCGTCGCGGGCCGCGGCGTCGGCTGCGGCGTGGGCGTCGACGCGTTCGTGGAGACGCTGCTCCGCGACGGCGGCCGCCAGGGCAGGAAAAGGGTGATTCAACGTCGCTTCAACGTGAGTGTTCCGCGCGCGCGCGTTTCGAAAACAGCACCCACGCGTCGAGAGCGCTCCGAGAGATGATCGCTCGTCCAAAAATCAGCCGAAACCGAGCGGAAAAAGACCGAGATAGGAGCCTTTGAAGTTTGGAATTTCGCACTCTTTTCCTGCCCAGGCGGCCGCGACGCGCGGCTCGCGCCGACGCTCCTGCCGCTGCTCGCGGCGGTGCTCGCGGAGGCCGACGACGACGACGCGGCGGCGCCGGGCGCGGACGCGGCCGCGGACGCGCGCGACGGCGCGCGCGCGCCGCTCTGGGCGTCGCTCCTCGGCGCGCTCGCGGACGCGGGCCAGTGGCGGCCGCTGCTGGCCGTGCTCCAGCGCCTCGCGCCGCGCGCGTGGCTCCGGAGCGCCGCGGGCGACGCCGTCGGCCGCGTCTTCCGCGCGGCCGTGCTCCGGCCCATCCTCGAGCTCGAGGAGGCGCACCAGCCCGACTCCGACGCGGTCGCCGCGGTGCTCGACGACGTCGTCGCGCTCGCGCGCGCCTGCCCCCACTTCCTCGACGGCGACCACCACGACGTCCACACCAAGATCCGCCGCGCCCTCGCCGCGCGCGACCGCGAGCAGGACCTCACGGCCGCCGCGCGCGCGCCGCCCGCGCAGACCCCCAAGAAGCGGCGCGCGCGGCGCCTCAGCCTCTAAAGCCAGAACGAGGCACACACCGGGGTGCCTTCCCGGGGCCCTTCGATTGCCGCCGTGTGCTGCGGCTCCGTACCGGGAAAAAAAACGCGCGCGCTAGACGCCCGCGCTCGAGCCGAGGCGCTTCCGGGCCGAGGAGTATTCCGGGAGCGCGTCGTCGAGCGCGGCGTCGAGGAGCGTCCGCGGCTGCGAGAAGGGCCGCGGCGCCGCGCCGGCGTCGTCGCGGCCCCGCGACGCGCGCCGCTGGTCGCGGCCCCGGTGGCGCGCGGAGCCCGGGCGGACGTCCTCGACGAAGCGCGCGGGGATCTCGACCATGGCGAGCGCGTCGTGGAACTCGACGGAGTGGTGCTGCAGGATGGCGATGCGGTCCATGAGCGCGCGGTTGATGCGGAGCACGCGGACGAGGTGCGCGCGCTCGAGCTCGTCGGCGAACTTGAAGCGGTCGGGCGGCGGCGCGGCGGCCGGCGGCGCGCCGGGATTCGACGGCGGCGGGCCGGGCCGCGGGCCGCCGCCCCGGTTGTCGCCGTCGCGCCCGTCGACGGAGCCGGAACGGGCCCGGCGGAGCGCCGTGCCCTTGTCCGGCGCGCCCGCGCCGCGCTTCCGGACCATGCCGAGCGACGCCGCGTCGAGCTCGTGGAACGGGAAGCCCTTGTTGAAGCGCGTCGACGGGTTGTACATGGTCGTCAGCGCCGCCTGGCCCGCGACGAAGGTCGCGAGGTCCAGCGCGAAGAAGACCTTGGCGCGCGCCGTGTCGTCGCAGAGGTACGCCGTCAGGATCGCGCCGGGAAGCGCCGCGAGCCACGCGGCGCCCGTGACCGTGAGCTTGAGGAAGAAGGCGCGCTTCGCCTTGAACGTGCGCCGCGTGACGTGGCAGCAGTAGAGGAACCAGCAGCACGCGAAGAGGCGCAGCGCGGCGAGGAACGCGCCGGGGTACGACGCGTAGTAGAAGCCGACGACCGCCGGGTCGTAGCCTAAACGGCTCCAGACGAGCGCGACGAAGGACGCGAGCGCGTAGGTCGTGCCGTAGACGGCGACCTTGATGCGGCCGCCGATGGACAGCTTGCGCCGCACGATGGTCCAGCCCTTGGCTAAAAAGACGAAGAGCAGCACCATCTCGACGTCCGCGACGCCGCGGAACATGCGGCTCAGCGTGAGGATCCAGGGCGACGACCGGCCCGTCGACGCGTAGCGGCCGTAGTAGGCCACGGACGCGAGCTGGCTCAGCCACTCGAAGAGGATGGCCTCGTTGAGGATCCGCGCGGTGTGGTGCAGCTTCCGCTGGACGACGAGCATGCGCCGCACCAATAGGCTCGCGACGACCAGTAGACTCTGGAACACGAAGAAGGCCAGCGCCGTCGGGAAGACCGTGATCTCGTCGTAGGAGAACTCGCGCGTGAGCCGCTCGTCGCCGTTCGTGAGGTGGAAGTTGTAGTCGATGTTCACGGGCCCCATGCAGTGGGGCTCCGAGCCGAGCTCCTTGTTGCAGAAGACGTTGGCACTGCTCGCCATGGGCGCCACGTACCACCCAAAGTCGAGCTCGACGGCCGCGAGGCCCGCGTCCGCCAGCTGCGTCAGGTTGGCGCCGCCGACGACGCTCGCCGGGCCCTCGCCCTCGACGTACTGCGAGTACTGGCAGACCGCGTTGCAGTCCATGTCGTAGTTGGAGTAGACGATGAAGAGGTAGCGCGGCGAGCCGCTCTTGAGGTAGGAGCTCCGGCTCCAGGTGCCCCGGATGACCGCGCCCTCCGCGTCCACGGTCCGCGGCAGCCGGTACGCGACCGTCGCGAGGCGCTGGCGCTCCTGGAGGTTCAGGTTGCTGTAGCTCTTCTTGTACATCTTCCGGAAGTCGTTCGTGCCCGTGCCGAAGTAGAGCAGCAGGTAGCCGTCGCCCCGGTGCTTGACCTTGAACGTGAAGGACGCGTCGTCCTCGTCGCCGTCGCTGCGGGCCTCGAAGCAGAAGCGCTCGAGGAAGACCCAGGGGTCCGTCGACTGCACGGTCTTCCACCCCGTGCGCCGGCCCGCCGCCGGCGCCGGGAGACGCAGGGCCGCGAGGGCGGCCCAGGCCCACCGCATGGCGCCGGAGGAAAAACTCGGGCACCAGACGGTTTGTCGGGGCAGCCCTCCAAATTGCCGCTTCAAGAAAAAAGGCAAGCAGCCCGGGGTTAGGACCGGTCGTATGACGATGGGCAGGTTTCGATTTTAGGCCCGCCGCAGCATGCCGGCGGAGCGGCCGGAGCAGTGGCGCGCCGTCGCGAAGATCGTCGCGGCGTCGCTGCTCTTCGCCGTCGCGCTGGCGCGCGCCGTCGCCTTCCGGCCGGCGGAGCCGCGGGACCTGGGCCTCGCCGTGGCGCCGCGGCCCGTCGGCGGCCTCGCCCGGGGCCCGCGGCCGCCCGACGACTTCCGCGCCTACTTTAGCGAGGCCGAGATCCTCGACGCCGCGACGACGGCCTGCGTCGCCCACAACGGCACCTGGTTCGCGCGCCGCGAGCGCGGCATCCTCGCGCTCAAGGACGACCGCCAGGGCGACTACTGCGAGGTAATCATATACGCGACGCCCGCATTCGAGGAACGCTCGTTCGCATAGGTCCAGGGCCCCTTCCGCGGCTACAAGCACTGCCCCGTGCCGTGCCAGCGCGCGGCGGCCGACGACCGCGGGCGGCACTGCCTCGCGGGCGGCGGCACGAAGACGTGCAAGGCGGCGGCGGACCCGCGGCACCTGCCCAAGCCGCCGGGCCCGGGGTCCTACGACGTCGAGGTGTTCATTCGTACGTACCGGCGCGACCTCCTGGGCGGCGTGCTGCTGTACACGCTCGAGTCCGTCGCGCGCTACGGCGGCACGGTCGTCCGGGGCGCGAGCCTCTGCTACCCCGCCGAGGACGATGCCCTTTTCGCCGCGCTGCCGGCCAAGTTCCCGACGCTGGCGATCCGCCTGAGCCCCGTCGACGCGGAGCCCGGGAGGCCGCTCTTCCACGACTACGTCCACGCGGACCTCCACACGTCGGCGCCCTACGTCATGCACCTGGACGGGGACATGCTCCTCTACCACGAGCTCAGCGCCGGCGAGCTCTTCGACGCCGAGGCGTCGCGGCCGTTTTTTCGGGTCGCGCCGTGGGCCGACTTCCCGGACCGCGTCCGCGAGGCGAACAAGCCGGCCATGGACTGGCTCGGCGTCGACGCGCTCGAGTACACGCTCCTGGGGCGCATGGTCTATCCGCGGGAGATCTACGCTTGGATGCGCGCGCGCATCCGCAAGGTGCACAAGCCCCTGTCGCTCGCGAAGGCGCTCCGGAGGCGCGGGCCCATGGACAACTACAGCCCCTTCGGCGCGCTCCTCCTCTACGTCCACCCGGACGCCGTCACCGTCGTGCGCCACCACCTCCGGAACCCCTACCTCCAGATCGACGGCCGCAAGATGACGGGCGAGTGGGTCAACGTCGCGCACTGCGTCGCCTGCCACGAGCCGACGGCCTGCGAGACGGCCATCTGGGACGACTGCAAGCCCGAGAAGGGCGGGCCCGAGCTCAACCGCCTGCGATGGTAAGAGGCGTGGTTGCTTTTGGGAAAGAGAGTCCGCTTCGCCCGGGTAACGCCCGGGTTAACGCCCGGGTTCAACTGAGTGAAGGAAACATGCACTGCTCGCCAAACTTTGCCACTAGCTCGCAATCCAACACCACGTCGCGAGTCGATTGTGCGGCCGCGGCGCATCGCACAGCCGACAATGGTGCGCCGCACGCTGCTCGCTGCCGTAGAGCCCGGCGTTGCATGTCGCGATCGACGCCTGCAACTCTGCAAAAATCGTAGGTCGTCGCAGTCGTCGCCGAAGCCGCGCGGGCGAAGAAGGAGGCCGTCGTCGAGGGCGAGCCGACGATCGTCGCGCTGGCCAAGGCCATGCCCGCGTCGCACGCCGCGGCGTTCATCGCGGGCTGCGTGTTCACGCTTATCTGCGTCGGCTGCATGAACATGAAGCTCCTGGACTCGGACCCCTACTGCTTCGGCGACGGCGCGCCGCCCGCGTCGCCGCGCGTCGAGGCGCGTCACACCGCTCGCGCACCCCCGCAGGCAAGATGGGCGAGTGCGAGGCCAACTCCGTGCACCTGTCAAAGCGGGAGAAGTTCCTCGCCGAGCAGGGCAAGAAGGCGTGAGCGCCGCCGTTCGATAGGAGCTAAGGCCTCGACGACGCCGCGACCTAGGGGAGGGCGATGATCTCGCGGGTCTCGATGCGCGCGCGAGTCGACGACACCGGGGGAGATTACGCGGCGACCTAGGCGAGGGCGATGATCTCGCGGGTCTTGATGCGCGCGAGCGTGTTCTTGTAGTGCGCCTCGACGTCGCCGCGGCCGTTCTCCATGTTGTCGACGTGCTCGTTGATGAGCGCGACGATGCCCGTGATGAACTTGGCCGTCGTCGTCGGGCACTTCTTCTCGAAGTGGGCTACGTAGTGGTCGAGGATCTCGACGAAGAGGTTGATGGGGCTGCTGCTCGACGTCATGCACGCGTCCGCGATCTTGAGCGACTTCTGGAGGCACTCGAGCACGCGCCGCGCGTCGCCCGGCGCGGCCGCGGGCTCGTCGGCGGGCGCCGTCGCGTCGTCGCCGTCGTCGTCGAGGAGGTCGCCCTCGGGCTTCGGCGGCGCCGCCGGCGGCGGGCCGGACCAGAAGAGGTGGGAGCACGTCGCGACCATGCGGCACTGGTCCGGCTTCTTGAAGAGCTTCGCGGCGTACTGCGTCGTCTTCGTCGCGAGCGCGTCGTAGTCCGGCGCGTCGAAGCCGGAGGCCTGGAGGAGCGTGCCCACCATGAGATGCAAGGCCTGGAGCTGGGCCTTGGAGTCGGGCAGCTCGTCCTCGTAGAGGATGAAGGCCTGCGACACGAACTCGTAGGCGATGGCTCCGAGGCCCGCGGCGTCGGCCTCCTGCGCGCACTGGAGGAAGAGGTGGAGCGACAGCGCGGGGAAGGAGCCGGCCATGGCCGTGACGATCTCGTGGACGAACTGGAAGACCTTCCGGGACGAGTACTGGAGCTTGGCCTCGCCCGCGGCCTCGACTTTCCGGATCTTTCGCGAGAGGTCGAGCGCGCGGAACACCAGAGGCACGAGCGTGTGCTTGATGCGCTGCAGCCCGCCCTGCCCGAAGTGCTTCCGCGCGCAGCCCAGGACCTTGAAGGTCGCGTCGGTGTCGTCGTTGACCATCAAATGCGCGAGGCGGCTCACCTGGGCAGGAAAAGGGTGCGAAATTCCCAACTTCAAAGGCTCCTATCTCGGTCGTTTTCCGCTCGTTTCGGCTGATTTTTGGACGAGCGATCATCTCTCGGAGCGCTCTCGAAGCGTGGGTGCTGTTTCCGAAACGCGCGCGCGCGGAACGCTCACGTTGAAGCGACGTTGAATCACCCTTTTCCTGCCCTGCGGCTCACGAGGATCTGCTCGCGCTCGCCGTCGGCCGCGGGCGGCGGCGGCGGGTCGTCGGGCCCCGGGGGCTTCTCCGCGTCGCCGCCGTCGCGCAGGAGGGGCGCGATCATGGCGAAGAGGCGCTCGACGGCGTCGACGGAGTCGAGGGGCTCGCCCGCGGCGAGCACGCACTTGACGAGGCTCAGGCTCACGTCCTTGCGCCGCTTCCAGGGCAGGTACGCGACGAGCGTGCCGAAGAGGCCCAGCTCCAGCACGCCCGTGAGGCCGATGGCCGGCCCCAGCGGCAGACTCAGGCACCGCTCGAGCTCCTCGGCGTCGCCGTCGTCGAGCGGCGCGGGCGCTTCGCCGTCGGCCGCGGGGCGGCTCGCGTGGAGCACGGCCGCGCAGGTGCCGAAGCAGTGGTTCACGTAGTCGAGGCGGCCCGGGTAGCACTCGATGGCGAACTCCAGGAGCGCGCCCTGGAGCTTGAGCAGCTCGCCGAGCTCGATCGCGCCCTTCTTCTCCTCGACGAGCTTCGTCGCGCACGAGTTGAAGGCCGCGAAGGCCTTGACGGGCGCCGCGACGGCGCCGCCGCCGTCCTGGTGCGCGTCGCGCGCGCCCGACGCGAGGCGCCGCATCATGGCCTCGAGGATCACGCGGACGTTGACCTTGTCCCGGAGCTGCGTGCACGTCGTCAGGAACGACTCGAGCGTCGCGAGGTGGAACTCGTCCGGGAAGACCTGGATGATGCAGTCGAGCAGGTAGGGCTGGGCGATGCTGTCCTTGCAGTTGACGACCTGCTCCAGCAGCCGGGGAAGCACCGTCTCGACGTAGCACCCGACGTCGACGCCGTCGAGCTG